CTTTTTTTTTACCGACCTCAAAAAAAGTTATCGTGCGATTAATTGATTTATTGACTATCGCGACAGGCCTACTAATGATGTCACAGCCTGACGACGTAACAGCCTAATGATGTCACAGCCTGATGACGTCACATACTGATTATGTCACAGCCTGATGACGTAACAGCCTAATGATGTCACAGCCTGATGACAAGTAACAGCCTAATGATGTCACAGTCCAATGATGTTGCAGCCTAATGATGTCATAGCTTGATGATGTCACAGCCTGATGACGTCACAGTCTGATGATGTCAGTCTTTTGACATCACAGTCTGATGGTATCACAGTCTGATGGTATCACAGCCTGATGACGTCACAGCCTGATGACGTCACAGCCTGATGACGTCACAGCCTGATGATGTCACAGTCTGATTCACAGTCTGATGACGTCACAGTCTGATGATGTCACAGTCTGATGATGTCACAGTCTGATGGTATCATAGTCTGATGATGTCACAGCCTGATGATGTCACAGCCTGATGATGTCACGGCATGATGATGTCATTACTCTGTGTGTAGGGGATGAAGTTTCCGATCCTCATCTTGTCCACGAGTTCTCGGAGCTGAAAGTCCTCCTCTGGCGTCCAGCCTCTGCGCTTCAGAGACTCTGAGACGAAACGCTGGAATGTCTGAAGACACATGAAGGCCGTCCTCCCAGACTGAGAGACAGGCATGTCAGAGAGACAGGTCAGAGAGACAGGTCAGAGACAGACAGGTCAGAGACAGGTCAGAGAGACAGGTCAGAGAGAGAGAGACAGGATGTCCCTGGTTTGTCCTCACCCCCAGCTCCTCTGCGATCCTGTCCCAGTGTCTCTCCCCGTGTCTCCAGCTGACCTCCTTCAGCTTCTGCACCTCCTCTTTGCTCCACGCCTCCTTGTTGATGGACGGATGCAGGAAGTTCCTCCAGAAAAGACGGATGTCCTCAGCGTCCTTTGTCCCTTCGAACTGAGGAAGAGGAGCAGATCTCAGCCGTCTCTGCATCAGCTGAACAGAAGACACATGGATTCATTGTCTTACGTCAATGTTGGAGATCTTCTGCCAGTCGTGTTCTTCAAATCGATCTCCGATAAGCTCCTCCTTCTTCTTCTGCCTGACCAATCAGAGCGGAGAATCAGACAGGTGTGTATGTAAACAAAAATCTGAGTTTTATTGATCCGTTCTGATGGTTAGAGGAGCTGCAGCGCCACCTGCTGGTAGAGCCATCAAACTTTATCCTGAGGACAGACCCTCAGGATGTCCAGCTCACCTGAGCAGGTCTATCTCTGTCTCCAGGCGGTCTATCAGCTCTCTGATCTGCTGCTTGTCTGCTTCACTCGCTGAGGACATCTTCTGCGTCAGGTAGTCCACCCTGAGGGGGACAGAGGGACAGAATCAAGACCCTCCGAACAACAAACCCCAGAGGACGAGGACAGGTGTCATTACCTGGACAGTTTGGGCTGGATGAGTTTCTTCAGACCGTCTTGGGTTACAGAATGGATCAGAAGGGTCTTCTGCCAGCTCTCCCCTGAACAAACAGATCAGTTAAGTTCTTAATGCTACAAGAAGAAAAAGAGCTTAAAGAAAAATAATAATTATCTTGACCTGGGTTTGTGCACAGGTGTGTCTTATACAAATCCAGCTCAGTTACAGTCTACACAGGGATCTACAGTGGTTTGCAAAAGTATTCATACCCCTTGAACTTTTCCATATTTTGTCACATTAC